GACACATCCAGGACACGGGCACAGCCCCAGGGTTCAGAGACAGGCACAGCCCCAGGGTCTGGGACACATCCAGGGCACAGGCACAGCCCCGGGGTTCGGGGACAGGCACAGCCCCAGGGTCTGGGACACACCCAGGGCAGGGGCACAGCCCCGGGGCTCAGGGACAGGCTGGGACACCCAGGGCTGCTCTGCAGAGCCCCCACTGCCTCCCACAGGGCCAGAGGGGCTGCCCACTGGGCTTGGTTCCTTACCAGAGCAGCTTTCACATCCCACAGCACGGCACACTGCCTCATGAAGGTTCCCTCTGATGCACAGGGAGGCAGGAAGCCCTCTCCACGTTGCTATATTTACTTGCCAGCCCCTCAGCCCTGGTTTCCAGCAGCTGTTGGCACGCCAGGCTGGGATATTCGGTGCTCACAAGGACCCCCCTTGTCACGTTCAGCTAACGCTGCCCCAGGGACCCCAGCCCACAGACACAGCCTGGCCACCTGCCTGGGCTCCACGAGTGCTGCTTTGGAAGGGAAGGTGGTCAGCAGCCACACTGGAGCCTGGCTGCAGCCCAGCACCCAGCTTTAGACTGGCAGTGCCAGGGAGAAGAGAACCACAGCAGATCAGGGGGAACGGGATGGGGAGCAGCAGCTGAAGCTGCACATGCAAAGCTCCGGGTGCTAGAAATAGGATCTGTGTTCTGTGCTGGGTTATTAGGAGACTCATCCTGCTGCAGGGCTTCAGAGGATTTTATTTGCAGGCATTGGGAGGCTCCTGGCTGTGCCACAGCCAAGCAGTGTCAAACTCCCTGAGCATCTGAGCCACAGGGCAGGGCCCACGGGCTCCCTCCCTTCTCACCTGAAACCTGTGCCACAAAGTCCCCGTTTGTGCCCATTCTCTCAGTTTTAACCACCCGGCTTCCCACTGCGCTCGCTGCAGCAGGGTGAGAGCCCTTCCCCGAGCCATGGCTGGGCTCCTGGCAGTGCCCCTGGCACCTGGCTGAGAGGGGAAGCATCGTTCCTCTGCTGCCACTCTGGAGTCAGGAGAAAACAAACCAGGAGAAACAGCAGCCAACGGCGGGCTGGGACCCCTGCTCCAGCCAGCAGCACAACTGGTTAACTCTGATTATCTCAGAATACCCCGCTGGTTAGCTCACAAGTGATAAATCAAGGCAAGACCGTCTCTTGATAAGGAAAAGCCAAGTGAGGCTATTTTAAAATGAAAATCCATAGGAATTCAGAGTGCCAATGAGGGAGAGGAGCTGAGATTAGGAGGTGACACAGACACAAGCTGGAAGAGGCCACTCCAGCACTGCTCTGTGCCTTCAGCAGAGAAGCAGCAACGTCCCATGGGCTGCCCAGGGCTGGTGCCTGACGGGATGCACAGAGGAGAAGCAGCTGCAGATGGTTCCTGTGGCACCCAGAGCCTGGTGCCCCCAGACAGCCCTTGGGTGCCCTGAAGGGCTGCATCTCCTCTCAGCTCACTGAGGGACAGCCAGAGCCAGGGTGCTGATGCACGCCTGGCATCCCTGGGAGCCAGGGGAAAGGTGTCCAGAGCAAGGAGAAGCTCACAGCTTACATGAAGACAGAAGGAAGAACTGTTGATCATGGGATGAAATGCAGCCTCATGGGGTGTCACAGCTGATCTACACTGTGGGGCTCCACAAGAAATAAAGAACTTACAAAAAAGAACAGATAAAGAAGGATTGCCACAGGGACAGCCAGACTCTGTCCCTGCTCATGCCTGCAGAGGCAGTGCCCACCAGCCCCAGCACCCAGCAGGATCCCCAGCTCCTCTCCAGCACTTAAACAGAGAGCAGGAGGCAGAGAGATTGGTGGCTGTGCATCACAGGGGCACGAATCTGATATTCATAGACTTTCTCTCTGTTTTAAAGGGCAAGCCTCCCTGTATAGAAACAAACCAGGACAACAACTTGATGATAAATTACCTTTCTTCAGTACTTCCTCTGTGAAATTCAATTTTAACTGATATTAAACATGACAGAGCTTCTGCTCATACTCCTGTTTGCCAGCCACGGTTTCCGCTGCCTCTGCAGGGCTAATGCCAACACATCCCTGCCCTCAGCAGCCTCTGTCAGCAGTCCTGGAGGGCCAAGGGACCACCCAAACACAAGAGCCCCGTGCCCCTCGCAGGGCCAGACACCGCCCAAGGCAAGAGTTTCACCAGGGGCTGTGGCACAAATCCAGCAAGGCTGGATCCCTCAGTGATGCTAACAAGGGGAGAGCCACAATCCCAATTTCTCCCTCTTTATTATTCCTTCATTGCAGCTCTGGTCTGTTCATTTTCACAGGAACTTTGGTCTCAGTGAGCTTTATTCTGCTCAAGAGAAATAAATCTATTTTACTTGCTGGGTCCTAGCAGCAGGTTATTTACCTGATTTCTAGAAGGCTTCCAGGGGTACGGCCCCAGTCCCACAACCCGCCCAGGTCCTGACAATCTGTTCCCAAGAGCAGCGCTCCCCTAAGAGCAGCAAAGAGGCTGGTCAGGGTGGGGGCAGTGCTGACTGCCTGTTTCTGCAGAGGGAAACGTGCCACCAGGCTCCTTAACAAATGTTCTCACAGGGAAAGGTTTGGATTTCAGTGAAGAAAACCTCCATGGCATCCATCCTGGGCCAGATCTGTACCACAGACAGAGCGCAGCTGCCCCGAGCAGGTGTCCCCTGCCCTCCCCGTGCTGTGTGTGACTGTCTGCTTTCACACCATGTCCCATCCACAGCCTGAAAGTACTCGGAAATACATTTATTTATAGCAGCTACAGCGCCACAGAACCTTCCTGCGCCTCTGCTGGCTGCTGGTGCCGCTGCCACTGCGTGGGTGAGCGGCCCCCTCCTGCCACCAGGGCTGGGACAGCAGAGAGGGGGACAGCAGAAGGGGTAGGGACAGCAGAGAGGGGGACAGCAGAAGGGATAGGGACAGCAGAACAGGCTGGGACAGCAGAGATGGGGACAGCAGAGATGGGATAGGGACAGCAGAGATGGGGACAGCAGAAGGGATAGGGACAGCAGAACAGGCTGGGACAGCAGAGATGGGGACACCAGAATTGATAGGGACGGGACACCAGGGACAGCTGGGACACCAGAGATCGGGCCAGCAGTGCCACCTGCCCCAGCACAGCCTAAGGGCCCGCAGTGACTCATGCCACCAGAAATGCCACTGGCAGAGGGCAGCCAGAGCGCCGCTGCAGCCCTGCACAGCCCGGGCTGGGGGCTGGGGACACCGAGGCACACAAAGGCTCCCAGGTGGGACTGGCCAGGGGAAATCGGGGCCAAATGCCCGAGGTGGCACTGCCCCACCCGGCACGGCCAGCCCTGCAGCAGCTGTGCCCCCAAACTGGGGCTGGCTCAGGCCCTGCCTGCTGCAGCAGCTCTGCGCTCACTGCATTGCTGCTGCGGGGCACAGGGACACGGCTGAACCTGCTGCAGCAGCTCTGCACTCACTGCATTGCTGCTGCAGGGCACAGGGACATGGCTGAGCTGCTGCAGGGCACAGGGACACAGCTGAGCCTGCTGCAGCAGCTCTGCGCTCACTGCATTGCTGCTGCAGGGCACAGGGACACGGCTGAACCTGCTGCAGCAGCTCTGCGCTCACTGCAGCACCTGCAGGGACACAGCTGAGCCTGCTGCAGGCCCTGCAGTCCGTGCTGAGCTGCCGAGCTCAGGGATCCAGAGCCCTGGTACGGGCTCCAGCCGTGGCCAAGCAGTCTGGCCTGGAGCTGCTGCCCAAATTCTGGCAGTGTGGGAGGATTTTCCTCCAGCACCAGTCTGTGCTGTGTTTGGGATATTCCAGCTTCTGTGCACTGGAGGGAGATGCAGGGAGGTGGAGCTGGTGTAACCAAAGGGTTTCCCCGTGTCCCTTGGCCCAGAACGGGCACAGTGATGGGCACCCCTCTCCAGAAGCATCCTGCCAGACTTCCACTCCCAGCACCACGCTCAAAACCCTTCCAGAGCTTGCTCCCTCCCCGGAGGTGCCTCGTGTGCCTCTGCAGGATCTTGTGGGTTCATGGCCCAGCTCTGCCCTTTCCCTCCCCACACAGCAGCCGAGGAGGTCTCTGACAAGCTGCGCTGCCCCAGTTTCAGCCACGGATGTGGCACACCCGGGTACCACCCTGGCCCGCTGCAGCGCCCACAGCTCTGGGCACGACAAGGGCAGCCCTGCCCAGGCACCAATGGGTTTGGAAGGCAGCAGAGCCTTTTCCCTGAAAACGCTGCCCTGCAGTGCCAGCCCTGCTCCTGGGCTCTGCAGGGGCACCTCCATGCCCAGCACCTGCGTGGGCACCTCCAGCCTCCGCAGGGAGCTGCCATCCCCCTCCTACCCCTGTTCTGTGAAGCTTTTCTCACAAAACCATCACTTCTGAACTAATCCTCAGATCATGAAAGGCAAGAGCTCACAGGAGACGCTGAGGAGGATTAGCAAAGTACAGCCCAGGTTAAACAAAACTAAGTATCCCTGGAAGTTATTGAGTATATTCCAACCACTGTGGTTCTCTGGGCTGGTCTTGAATTTCCTCTAGTTTCTGTGGGTGAACAGCTGGAACCTGAGGAATCCAGGTGGTACCAAGCCTTCTCCTGGGCTCTAAATAGCCCCTGGGGAGCTCTGGCCACCCCAGGACAATGTGGCTTCTCTGGGTGATATCTATAGACATGATTGCCATCTCCCCGAGCTGCTTCGTTTACAGATTCACAAACAACAATTTCTTATAGGCTTTTGAGGAATTCTGCCCCAATTTGGGCATTGTTTCTCCCACACAAAGGTAAAATCCCAGCAGCACAGCTGGCTGGGGCTGCACACCCACGGCCTGCCCCACTCAAAGGCCGCCCGCCGCCCACACACATGCCATCCCCCTGAGGTGGCAGCACAGGGGCTGGCCTCAGAAAAGCCCCTTTAAGGGACACCTCAGGGCGGCCTCGGGAGCCAGGACATTAATTTTAGCCTGGAGCGGTGCCAGGGCGCAGGGCAGCTGCTGCAGGCGGGGCCATTCCTGCCCTGGCCTGCCGGGCTCCAGCCCCGCCAGTCCCGCGGCCATGGCCGAGGAGCGCGGCGAGCTGCAGGAGCGGATCCTCGGCAAGGACCCGCTCACCAAGGAGATCGACCTGGTCAACAGAGACCCCAGGCACATCAACGAGGACGTGGTGAAGGTAGGGCTGTCCCAGCACCGCTGCACCCCCAGCCTTGGCTTTCAGACCTCGGCCTGCCTTTGGCTCCCCTTGGCCAGCCCTGTGGCCCCAGAGGTGCTGGCACCCAGAGGTGCTGGCACCCAGAGGTGCTGGCACCCAGGGCTCTGGGACACCCAGTCCGGGTGACACCCAGGGTGGCACGCCTGGCTCCAGTTAATGCCACATTTCCCATTCCTTGAATGGGCTCTCCAGTTTCATTGTGGCGTGAAAATTTATAGAGACGCCTTCCTTTGCACCAGCAAGCTGGCAGCCAAAAATAACACTAAATTAAATATTTAAGGGGATACTGGGGAAGGCTGCTGGCCTTCAAGACACCACAGTGGCAGTACCTGTTGTTTGGTGTGTGTTGTCATGCCTGTGGAAGATTGCTCCCCCCAGGGCAGCCAGAGGTGCAGCAGCCCCAAGTTCCCTCCCCCTGTTTCTGACCAAGAGGAATTCCCATTGTAACTCTTGGGCTTCCCCTAGGCTACCTTAGAACTGCAAACAAAATCTGTCTCTGTTAGCCAAAGAATCCCAGCCCAAAGGAGAACAGGACAGGAAGGGTTTTGTTAAAACTGTTGTGACTGTCACAGCAGAAGGGACAGCGGGCACAGGGCTGCTCACACAGGCTTTGTAACAAGCCATGACCTTGGCAGCACTGTGAAACACAAACCTCGGTTTGGGCATGAAAACACCATTGCAGCTACCAGCGTGCTGTGGTCAGATGGAATTCCCTGGGATGGGCTGTGACAGTGGCAGCCATCGGGGTCCCTGCTGGCACAGTGAGACCTGCCCGTGACAGCTGCCTGACTCCTCAGCATCCCAGCATCGTGCCACAGCCCCGGCCTGGGGCTTGGAGAGGTGCCAGGCCAGGGAGCACCACTCTGCCATGGCAGCAGGGACCAGAAGAGCCCTCAGCCTGCTCACCCCAGGGCCAGGCGGCTCGTTGGGGCTCCCAGCCTGGGAGCACCACCAGCTACTGCTGGGTGACAGTGCCAGCACCATCCGTGCCACCCACCAGCCCCCCTCTCCCAGCACATCCCTGCCTTTCCCACTCCAGAATCTCCAAAGCCTGAAGAGACCTTCCAAGCTCACCCATGCCCAGGGCCACGCTGCTGCTCCAGCAGCACTGGAAGCCTTCAGAGCTCAGCATTCCTCCACCTTAAAATAGCCCGAGAGGCTGGGGAGGGAGGGCAGAGGCAGCCCGGGCAGGAGCACAGCTCACCCTGCTGCTGCTGCCCCTGCCCAGGCACAGCCCAACAGCCAGGGCACGGCAGCTGGAGGCACGGGGAGGGAGGGAGGCAGGGCTCACCCGGCCCTGGATAAACATCCCGAGCATCACAAAGCAGCAGCCAGAATTTGGGATCGTGTTACAGAAGTGGCACTGCCCAGAGAGGCTTTCACAAGCCTCCTCCGAGCACAGCACCAGAGCAGAGCACGGCTGCACTGGGTGAGCCCAAAGAGCTTTCCCAGCCCAAAGGGCCCCACGGTTCTACAAGGGAGCAGTACCTGCACGTGCTGCTCCCTGGGCACCCCCAGATCCGGATCCAGACCCAGCTGAGCCCCCTCTGCTCCTCCAGGCCCACTCCCAGGGCAGTGGGGCAGAGCCTCTGCTTTTATCCCCCACTGCTCCCGGCATTAATCAGTCCCTGGTGGCTCATCAGGCAGCTGGGCAGTAAGCTGGGCTAGTCCCCAGCACACCTGGGCTCTCTAGGGCTGCTGATGGCACCTCAGGGCCAGCTCCCGGGCCTGCTGTCTCCTCATTGCCAATACTTCTGTCAGCACTCCAGGAAATTAAAGATGACACAGAGTGACTTTGTGATCCAAGTGCTTCCAAAAGCAGAATGAATGTTGTTATTTAGCATGAATGTACAGACACGTCAGCAGCCGGGGGGAGGCCGGGCTGGTTTTCAAGACAAATAGCTCAGCTCATATATTCCCTGGAAGTGAGTTCCACCCCAAAGGGATCTCTGCGTGGGGTTTTGGGGAGTGTGTGTCACTCAGAGACACTCCCAGTGCCTGCACAAATGGCAAGGGCAGGGCTGAGCCCCAGCTCCTTCCCCAGGACGAACATGGACAGACAGCACTGAGCACCTCACCTATGGTATAAATAAATAGTCCATAACTCCAGAGGGCTGCTGGGTCTTTATTAGCACAACCACCTTCCTGCCGAGTGGGCAGCCACGTCCCCGAATGCTAAAAAAGGGCAGGAATGGGCTCTGGCCGCCTCTGCAGCCAACACTCCCACGCACAGCTCCTGTTCCAAGGACTCCTGCCTCACCTGATTCCCCAGATCAGGGGGTGGGATGGGACTGTGACCCCCCCGTGCTGGAGCCTCAGCCATGGGCTGAGCCAGCACTGCCCAGAGGCTGTGCCAGGCAGAGCTGGGAGCCCTGAGCCCTCTCCCAGCTCTGCAGGGATCCAGGGATCCCCCCCCAGCACAGTGCCCACTCTCCCCAGGCCCCTCCATTTGGGATCTGCTCTCCCCTCCTGCAGGACCCTCATGTGGAACTGGGGCCTCTGCAGACCCCCAGACCTCCCTTGTGTCCTCTGTTCTCCTCCCAGGTGGATTTTGAGGATGTGATAGCTGAGCCCGTGGGAACGTACAGCTTCGACGGCGTCTGGAAAACCAGCTACACCACCTTCACCGTCAGCAAGTACTGGTGCTACCGGCTGCTCTCTGCCGTCCTGGGCATCCCCCTGGCCGTCATCTGGGGCTTCCTCTTTGCCCTCATCTCCTTCTGCCACATCTGGGCAGTGGTGCCCTGCATCAAGAGCTACCTGATCGAGATCCAGTGTGTCAGCCGGATCTACTCCCTCTGCATCCACACCTTCTGCGACCCGCTCTTCGAGGCGCTCGCCAAGATCTGCAGCAACGTCCGAGTTGCTGTCCGGAAGGAGATTTAGGTGCTGGCAGCTGCTCCAACAGCCCTCACACAACCCCCTCTGTGCAGGCTGCCTGCCCCCAGGCACATGGACACCCCTGTCCTGTGAGGGACCTGCACATGGACACCCCTGTCCTGTGAGGGATCTGAACTCGGACACCCCCATCCAGTGAAGGACTCACACATGGACACCCCCATCCAGTGGGGGACCCACACATGGACACCCCTGTCCTGTGAGGGACCTGAACACGGACACCCCTGTCCTGTGAGGGATCTGCACATGGACACCCCCATCCAGTGAAGGACTCACACATGGACACCCCCATCCAGTGGGGGACCCACACATGGACACCCCTGTTCTGTGAGAGACCTGAACATGGACACCCCTGTCCTGTGAGGGACCCACACACAGCCACCCCCATCCAGTGAGGGACCCACACCCCGGTACCAGGGCTGAGCACCACTGCAGGGCCCACAGCCGAGCTGCCTCTCCGGGATGCTCTCTGCACAGCAGGCCAGGCTGCTCCTTACTCCATCCCAAAGCCAGAAGCCTTAGGAGAAGGAAGTCCCTCATGGCCCAGGGAGCAGCCCAGAGACCCCTCTGCCCTCCAAGCCCCGGGAGCTCCTGCGGAGGGATGGCAGCAGCTCCTGGAGAAGGAGCAGGAGCAGGGGCAGCAGCAGGAGCAGGGCAGGGCAGGGGCAGGAGCAGGAGCAGGAGCAGGCAGCACCTCCTGGAGCAGCACCAGGAGCAGGAGCAGAAGAGGAGCAGGAGCAGGAGCAGGCAGCCCCTGCTGTGCTGTCCCTCTTCCCCAGAGCCACACTTTCACTTTGAGGCACTTTAACGCTCTTTTGGCTCCAGCCTTAAGTGCTTTGCTGAACCAGGCCCAGGAGGTCTCCTTGTGCAGAGGCTGTTCTCAATTGTCTCCATGTGCGCCTTCCCCCAGCTTCCAGCAAAGGCTTGGAGCCAAAGACTCCTCTAGTGCCACGCCAAGGAAGAGAAAGAGCCAGGTTTCCTGCTGGAGCTCTTCCAAGGGCTTGGGATTGTATCCTGCTGTTATTCCACAGCAATGTGGTACCCAAGCTCCAGCAACATCAGGGCCCAAGAAGGATGGAGTGATTAAAAAAAAGATATTTAGTTAATTATAGGGAGGTGGGGGAAAGTCTCAAAAAATACTTCCTTTTTTGTGGGAATAAAAATAATTAAAAACAATTGTAAGATGGACTTATACTACTTCTAATTGTTTTGTCATTCTAGTAGTTCACTGCCTGAACCCAAAAAACCCTGAAATGCTGATGTCCCCACCCCATTGCTCCCTGGGCTCCCCACACCTGGGCACACACTGCTCACCTGTCAGCACCTCTGTGTCACGTTTGACCCTCCTGAAGCTTTTGGCAGTGTCCACCCGGGGCACTCCCCAGCTGCTCTCCCCGCCCCGCTCTGCCGCAGCCTGGGGCCGGTGCAGGAGCTCAGCCACGGCCCCGCTGGCTGCAGCATCTCCAGGCGTGGGGCAGGGCCTGCCTGGCCCCCAGACACCTGCAGAAATTGCAGCCAGGGCTGCAGGGCAATTGCCTGCGTGTCCCAAAGCTCCCTCCCTTCGCGCCTCCATCCCGGTAACATCCTCAGCCCTGCTCTCGTTCCTCAGACTCTCCAGAAAGGGACACACCTCCTTCCTTGTTTTGTGCAGGAGTTTGCGGCTCCCGAGGACAAGGAAGGTGAATGTGGGAAGAAAATGCTCTGTGGCGTCCTGAGGATTTCAGTCAGCAAAGGTGCTGAGAGCTCACTTGAAGCTTCTACAAAAAAATCAGAGGAATGTCAGGACAGGAGAGGCACAAATGGACCTGCTGGCAATAGTGGAGAAATAAAGGACACATTTGAATGCATTTTTCATGTTCATTCCCATCGTGAAAAGCCAATTACATCACTCTTAGAGAGCCCCGGCTGCGTGCCCCTGCAGTGCCCGGTCACGGGCAGCGCCGTGCCCCTGGGGCAGATCCCGCTGCCGGGGCAGGGCAGCAGAGCTGCGGCGGAGTTCGGTGCTTCCAGCGACCCCTTCATTCCCTCAGCCAGCGCTCCCTCCCGCCCCCGTCCCGCCCTCCAGCAGACGCGGTGGGAAAACTTCATTTACGTATTTGCTATCAACAGGAATCCGTGCCGGGAGCGCGCCCCGCGCGCACGGAGCGAGCGGCTGGCACCGCTGGGCACCGCTGGGCACCGCTGGGCACCGCTGGGCACTGCAGCACCGCTGGGCTGGGACACCCGGCTGGGACACAGCGCTGTCCCTTCGGGGATGCTCCCTGCTGATCTCAGAAGGACCCTGGTCTGTGCCCCAGGCACGGGGAGCAGGGCAGGCATGGGGCAGGCTGGCATGGTGCAGGCTGGCATGGTGTAGGCTGGCATGGTGCAGGGCTGCAGGGCTGCTGGGCTGCATGGTGCAGGCTGGCCTGGTGCAGGGCTGCAGGGCTGCTGGGCTGCAGGGCTGCATGGTGCAGGCTGGCATGGTGCAGGGCTGCATGGTGCAGGCTGGCATGGTGCAAGCTGGCATGGTGCAGACTGGCATGGTGCAGACTGGCATGGTGCAGGCTGGCATGGTGCAGGGCTGCAGAGCTGCAGGGCTGCAGGGACGGGGCTGCCTCTGCCCCACCGGCTGCAAGAGAAGCGACGCTCCTGTGCTGAGAGCGCGGTGCCAGGCGCTGCCATCCTGCGGGATCCTGCTGCAGGAGGAGGCGGGGCAGTGCCCAGCCGCGTACCAGGGGTGCCACTCATCTCCCTGCGCTGCAGCAGCCCCTTCCGCCGCAGCTGCCCTGCGGCACCGCAGCATTTGGCTCTCCCGGTGGCATCCACAAGCCGCTGAAGTCAGGGTTCGGGGCTCGGGAACGGGCTCCTGCTGTCTAATCCCAGGCGGCGCTGAAACTTGGACACGGGATTCCTCCCCGGCTCCCGTCCCGGTTAAAGAACGCCTTCTGTACGTGCTTACATATTTACACCTATTCACAGCCCCCTCCTTGTCCGGCCCAGCTCCCCGCGGGGCAGCGCCGGCGGCAGAGGCGCAGGGTCCCGGCCCCGCGGCCTCACGTCGCGGACGGCCGCACGAAGCTCCTCTGGCTCGTGCCCCGGCAGCTGAGGACGAAGGACGAGGAGTTGCTCTTCTTGCTCAGCTCGCACGCCGGCCGCGCCTTCAGGTAGCGCGCGGAGCAGCAGAGGAGGCGGCGCATCAGGTCGTGGAAGAGGTGCCCGGTGTAGAGCATGTAGATCCAGGGGTTGCAGCAGCTGTTGAGGCTGGCCAGGAGCATGGCGATGATGAAGGGCGAGGCTGCGGGACAGAGGCACGGCGGTGTCAGGGCACGGCACACGGCCCCCGGCTCCCCGACACCCCCTCCCCGCCCCGGCCCGCAGGACACCCCGGGAAAGGAGCTGCTGCAGGGGAGCTGCTGCAGGGGAGCTGCTGCAGGGGAGCTGCAGGGACTCTCGGCTCCAGCAGCTCGGTCCCGCAAGAGCTGCATCCCCCGCTCCGCTCCGCTCCGGTGCCGCCCCGCACGCCGCCCGGAGGCAGAGCTGCCCGAGGCGCCCAAGCCGGGGAAGGGAGCGCGGCCCCGGGAGCTGCCGTGGCTGAGCCGGTCTGGGAGCGAGCAGCGGCTCATCCATCCCCCCGCAGCAGCGGCTCATCCATCCCCCCGCACAGCGGCTCATCCATCCCCCCGCAGCAGCGGCTGCTCCGGGGCTGCTCTCGGCCTCCAGCCTCGGGCTGCGGGACAGCCGCGGCCCCGGGCTGCGGGGCTCCCCTGCTCCTGCCCGGCCCAGCTGAGCCCTTTGCCCGGTGCTCTCCCAGCCCCTTCTGGAGTCATCTGTCCTCCCCCCAATTAATGCTCCCCACGCAGCGCTGTGCCAGGGAGGAGCCTGGATGCCCCGCTGGCGGGGATGGCGGCAGGGCAGTGCCAGGACATCCAGTCTCTGTCCCCAGAGCACGGAGTACCGACTGTCCCACCTGAGAGGCTGGACCGGCACCTCCTGGTGACAAGGGGGCGGTGGCACTGGCATCTGCCATGGCACCAGGACAAGGGGGGACGTCCCCTCCGTGAGGTGGCTGCCGGTGGAGATGGAGCCGTTATCCTGCTCCCTGTGCTCCAGCTCGTCTGCTCAGCCCCTCTGCTCCCAGAGGACGCGCCAGCAGCCAGGATGAGCATGGTTGGTTTGGCTGCTCCTGGCCCCTTCGTGCCTCTGCAAAAAATCCACTGGCACTTTTTGAACCAGTGAAGAACTGTGACTATAAATGCTAGCTTCCAAATTCACCTTTAGCCAATGGAAGCGTAACTCCTGCTCTTGTGACATCTGCTCCAACTACTTTTAATTTCAAATATATTCTAAAAAATAATTAATAATTGATTTAAAGTAACAATAATATTTCAATAATAATTCATTTCAAGTATATGCTAAAAAATAGTTCCATGCGGAGTGGTTACAAATCCCAGGCGCAAGACCTGAAATACATCCCAGTGTTTCTACTCGCTTGAAACACCGAGCCAGAGCTGACTCAGCTCTTCCCCCTCCGCAGGAGGCAAATTGAATTTCAGGGAGCTTACCGCAGGGCAGGCCCAGAGGGCGGATCGCTGCCCTGCCTGGCTGGAGCACCAGAGACCCCGAGGGTGCTGAAGCAGCTCTGTCCCCAAGGACGGCCCCGTCCCAGCGCCCCCGGGATGCCCGCAGGTGCGAGAGGCGCGGCTGTGCCCGGGCAGGGCTGCGGGGCTCTGCTGCGAGGCGAGCCCGGAGCGGGATGGGAGCAGCTCCCACGCACCGGCCGGGGCCACCGCTCCCAGCCCCGTGTCAGGGCAGCTGCCCCGAGCTGCAGAGCCCGCTGGGACAGTGTGTGCCCACAGCCCTGCTGCCATGCTCATGGGCACCGAGAGCCAGCTCTGAGCCCAGCTCAGAGCGCCGCAGGCTTCCCTGTGAGGTGTGTGCAGCAGCAGCTCCTGCGAGGGCCCCAGCGCTTCAGCCAGCGCTGGATCGTGCCCTGTAGCTCCCACCCACCTTACAGAGGCTGTGTGGCCACCCAAGGGGGCTCTCTGCTGCCTGCCCAGTCACCCCCAGTGCAGCTCACCGGGTGCAGTCGTGCCCCCGTTGCTGCTGGCACCCAGGGACCCCCTGCCCTCCCTCTCCTCTGCCCCCTCCACGGCATGCCCACACAGCTGTGAGGTGAGGAGCAGCCACACTCCCTTCCCAACACCTCTCCTGGGACCCCACCACGCTGCCTGGCACAACACCCGAGCCTCGGGTCCGGGACCAGGGCAAGGCTGTGGGAATGCTGCAGGAAAGCCCGAGTCCTTTGCA